AACCCCGGGGCAGTACCAGCTGCCATGCGACCCGGGATGGCGATGATTGCAGGATACCCGCCCATGAGGCCGCAGTTCCAGCAGTGATTTGGATCGACTGAGCCATCTATCTTATCTCTTGCTTGGACGAATCCGCCGGGCGGTAGTTGTGGTTCCCACGCAGAATTTCTTAAAGAAAGATTTACCTTGGCTCGGAAATTTATGGTTGACGATGATGGTTTTGAGCATGCTTCAACGACGAGCGCATATGCAGGCCATGACGAGCGCAGAGATGGGACTTTTGGCTATACGATACTGGTCTTCACTGTACCTAATCCGACTGTCTAATTCTACGAGCAAGTACAATGTACACTAGGCACGGCCTGAGTCACGAAGAGAGAGGAGCATCTTGCTGAGACGAGCAACTACCGGGACATGAAAGCGCGGGGTGAGCCGGCTTCAAGGCCAGGTCCGCAGGCTGGTGCCCGTCCCTACGCTGTATGAGCAGCCTTTTCCCAACTGATTTCTTCTGTTAATATGAACGAATTGGCGCGCTACCAAAAAGAATAAAAATTGAGATGATGAGGTTGTGCGCTGCGCAGTCCCAAGGCATGTCGTCGATCGACTGTGGCACCTGAGGAGTGGCGACATCCACATTGTGGCTTGACCCTAGACATCGGGAAGGGATGAACCCGGGGCCAAAGAGTCGAAATGCAAGTTCAAAGTTTAATTGGAGAGGCCGCCGCTGGCATGGAGGGCACGTACCAGAAATGTCACGATGTTAACCGTCAATTGTCCAGGTCGGCTTGCCGCTCAAGATGCGGGCATGCGGGCCCTGTAGCAAGCGCTGCTGCGGGAAGATTTGGAGAGCCGTTGGACGCCGTGTTCGACCTGGACATGCTGCTAGGGTCAATCTGGCCTGGCTTCCGTGGCCGTTTGTGTATGCAGCGAGGTTCGCGAATCGCAGCGCCGGTGCACCGTTACATCGTGACGGAGGAAGGGTTTCGAATGATATCTGGGCCTGGACGGGCTTATGCCAAACGATGACATTGACTTTCGGCTTTCGCCAGAGCAGACGTGTGTGTGTGTATGTGACATACTTATTGGAAACGGGCCACTCATACCTTTCGTTGCTGGAGTAGGTGTTTGGTATTTGGGGTCTCGTTTTCCTCAAATCAAGCCTCAGTCATCAGCCTGCACTGTCTGCGCCGGACGTGCCGTTCCAATGATCGTGCCAAGTAGACGCCCACGATCGAGATTGAAACCGGCTGAGCGGCGTCTCGAGACAAGTAGAAGGAGATGGAAGGTCTAGACCCCTCATCTCCGGAGGACATCTCCTTCGGATGGGCAGAGGAAGGCGTGGAGAGGGTGAGAGATGGAAATCGCCCGGTCCAGGCCTCAGCAGTACAGGGGTCCAAGAGAGACCGTCTGGTTCAGGAACTGGATATATGATTGGCCAGATACTTGTTCACAGACAGGTCACACAGCGGCAGTCAAGCGGAGCCCTGGCCTAACGCCGAAACTCTAAATCTGGGGTGGGCGACGAAAGGCAGGGAGCTTTCTCCTGAATTTATCTGCTTAGGTCGGGTACATACAACATCAATCACTACGAACGCGCTCTTAACAAACTATAGAGGAGAACCAAGTGCTGAACGGCTAAGCGTAAATGATGATACGATTTGAACCTTGTTAATTGTATTATTTTTAGTGGTATTTCCTTGCCAGGTGAGCCTTAGTGTGAGAAACACGGTTGTGGAATATGCTGGAAGCTTCCACATGCTTCCACACGTAGAAGCACCTCGAAGCGTCTCGTGAGGCCATCGCCATATGCTTACCCCATAGAATCCTACAAGCAGGTTTCCATACACGTTTGCGTCTCTTCCGTAGCACCCGAGCGGTTTCCAGAATGACCTCGCGATGATGACATGCTACCTTTCAGCGATGATTCCGGAACTGCTTCGAAGGCTTGGTAATGCCTGCCTCAAGTGTATAAATCGACCGATTTGATCCCCATCCGAACATCTTTTCTGTTCATCAGAATAACAACAACAACAACAAAACGCACACAAACACACAAACACACAAATACGCAAACACACCCTCAATAGTATCTTTCAAGCATTTTGCGACTCAATTCGCTTGTAACTCAAAGCTCAAACAAAATTCCAAGCTCAACTCTTTCACATCACAACCCACCCAACGAGATCAAAATGGCCGCTTTCTTCCCCCGCAACTTCTACAACTCTGACGCCTCCTTCACTCCCCTCTTCCGTCTTCTGGAGGACTTCGACAACTACTCCCGCCAGGGCGGTCAGAACGGCACCACCCGCGGCACCCACCGCAACCACGTCCCGACCTTCCAGCCCAAATTCGATGTCCGCGAGGTCGAGGATGCCTATGAGCTTCACGGCGAGCTCCCCGGCTTGAAGAAGGAGGACGTCTCCATCGAGTTCACCGACCCCCACACCCTCCATATTCGGGGCCGCGTCGAGCGCTCCTACACCGCGGGTACTCCTCCCGCTGGTCTCCTCCAGCAGGGCAACGAGATGAGCGGTGCCATTACCGACGGCCAGGAACGCCCCCGTTCTGCGCACCAGGCCACCGTTGAGGACGATGACAACGAAACCAACTCCACCGCCCAGCCCACGCCGGCCACTACTGTCGCCGAGGTGGACAAGAGCGGCAAGCAGCAGCAGAAGCAAGAAGGCCCGGTCGACAACGCCAAGTACTGGGTCTCGGAGCGCAGCATCGGCGAGTTCAGCCGGGTCTTCAACTTCCCTGGCCAGGTCTCGACCGATAACGTCTCTGCCAAGTTCACGGACGGAATCCTCACGATCCGTGTGCCCAAGGCTCCCAAGCATGAGACCCGCCGCATCCAGATTGCTTAAGCAAGCCCTGCGACTCGACCAAAAACACTTTTCCTTACGAACATTTTACGATTCTTGTACAATGGCAACAATAATGACGGCTAGAAATTCTGGGATTTCGCAAACGAGATGGCATTAATGATCCAACAGCATGGCTTGGTGTTTCGGTCCTTCTTCCTAGCTCCAAAAGTGCTTTTGCCTTTTGACTGACGGAAGCGCTCTTTACTGGATTGTAGATAGCAACTGAAATCAAAGTACTTTTTGAACGAAACCTTGAAGACTCAATTCGAGAGATTGCAAGCGACGTGACCATTGGTAGAAAATAGTCTAGACGGCGGAATGCAATAGACCAGTACTAATGACAGACAACGCCACAAGCAGGCGATGCTGCCTGAATTCGTGTAAGCAGATGAACTGTTGACTTTGTCCAAATCTGAACTTCCGTCAGTGAGGTGGCCAACGATGTTAGCGTGGTGGAGACGCTAAAGCCAGGCAACAAGTGGGACCGATTCTTAATTGAAACCGGAGAGCGCACGTGAGTTGGTGTGGCACCTTCCTTGCCACTTCCTCGACGCGTCTTAAAACCCGCGTCGCCCACACAACATAAGCTCAGCGCCGCGACGGACTGTTACCTCACTTCCGACATCGTGATCTACCCACACGTCAATCGATTCAAGCGCAGTCCGGATCTTTTCAAGTCATAATGGCCGAAGCCGACGGATACGATGAAAGTAATATGGGCGACGAGAGCCAAATGACTGGCCCTGGCGCGCCCACGCCACTGACCGCTCTTGAGGTATATCCTGACTGTGAAGCATTGCCGACTCAAAGATTTTAACCCTTGGTATATAGGGAATCGCCGGCTTGACCAAGCGCGACATTCAGCTTGTTGTTGATGGCGGCTACAACACCGTGGAGTCCGTCGCCTACACCCCGCGTCGAGTCTTGGAGCAGATCAAGGGTATCTCGGAGCAAAAAGCCACCAAGATCCTTGCTGAAGGTTGGAATTTTCATAGGGAAGTGTGCGAGGTATTAATTCTGACGTTTCTGTAGCCTCTAAGCTTGTACCAATGGGTTTCACTACTGCCACGGAAATGCACCAACGCCGAAGTGAGCTCATCTCAATCACTACGGGATCCAAGCAGCTGGATACACTTCTCGCCGGTGGTATCGAGACCGGGTCTGTGACAGAGCTGTTCGGAGAGTTTCGTACGGGAAAGAGTCAGATCTGCCATACCCTGGCAGTCACTTGCCAGCTTCCATTCGACATGGGTGGTGGTGAAGGCAAATGCTTATACATCGACACTGAAGGCACGTTCCGACCCGTCCGTCTGCTGGCCGTCGCCAACAGGTTCGGCCTCTCTGGAGAAGAGGTGCTGGACAATGTGGCGTACGCGCGCGCCTACAACTCGGATCACCAGCTGCAACTTCTCCAGCAGGCGTCTGCAATGATGTGCGAGACGCGATTCTCGCTCCTCATTGTCGACAGCGCGACTGCTCTATACAGAACCGATTTCTTGGGCCGTGGCGAGTTGTCATCCAGACAGACCCATCTTGCGAAATTTATGCGCACCCTGCAACGTCTTGCCGATGAATTTGGAATCGCTGTGGTCATCACCAACCAGGTCGTTGCGCAGGTTGACGGTGGACCGAGCGCCATGTTCAATCCTGACCCGAAGAAGCCCATTGGCGGTAACATCATCGCGCATGCCAGTACCACAAGAATCAGCTTGAGGAAGGGTCGTGGTGAGACTCGCGTCGCCAAGATTTATGACAGTCCTTGCCTGCCGGAGAGTGACTGTCTCTTTGCGATCAATGAGGATGGCATTGGAGACCCAAGTCCCAAGGACCTGGAGAAAGACTGAGTACTGTCTGTTTAGCAGTTGTATTAGTATGGGGCTGGGACACGATTCGGCTACGCGCACATGAGTGAGGTTTGATACACTCCCCAGTTGGCAGGAGGTGGCATGCATGGTTGCTGGCGTTAGACGGCATATTGTTTTCCTGGAGTTGCGGTGATTCTGCTATTGGTCGACAGGAGAGTATCGAGATAACTGTTTGCTAGACAAGGTTTATGGTACCAAAGATGTAAACAAAACAAAGTCCGAAATCATTCTCGACGCGCAAGTATCCCATCGTGACATAAAGACTTTCATGGACATGCCTAGGAGGCAGACAGGCTTCAACAATGTACCGTGCATTAGCCAGCCGCACTGTCCATCGACACTGTAAACAAGCTGGTTGCTGTTTTGGGATTAGCCCCACCAACGCGCTTGGAGGCAAAGTGAAATTCCAACATCTCGAATCGCGACGAACTTTTGCTGCAGCATCTGATTGTTTGATGCGCCGAGCCCGACTCGCGACTCCAGCGGCCTCTTTCTTTCCCCCGAAGGTGTGAGAGGTCTTGATGAACTAGGTCGGCGCAAAGAAAGATGGATTCCGCAAACACGCAATATCTCTACCGAGAGACTCGTCTCAACCTCGAAGCGGCTTCTTCGTCGTCTGTCGTCAATATCCGCGTTCCCTCGCTGACATCCAACGGCAGAGGCGTAATCCGCAGACTGACCTATGGGAACGGCGGCAAGAATGTGAGCGAAGATGAGGTGGCCTTCCGACTTAAGAACCTCGCGGCTGCCTCGTCGGTCTACCACAGAAAATGGCACGATGCACCGCGCAGCTTCCTCTGGAGATTGCTCGAGGACGGCTTGGTATTAAGCCTTCGTGTGGTCGATACCTGTCGCCATGAAAAGGCGGCGGATGCGCCCCTTACGCTCAACTTCAGATTCTCGGTACCGATCCAACCATCCTGCATCGCCTTCGCCGACCCCCGCGAACACGATGCGCTCTCGATGTTTGTCCTCGACGAGTCTAGCTCTCTCTACACATTTACTCTACGACCCGATTTTTTCAGGAAGCGCTCCGCGATCGAGACTGGTCCAGGCGATGCTTGCAAGGCTTACCAGCCAAAGGTCTTCGGCCTGAAGCATCCGCACCGAATGGTCGCAGCAAGCCCCGATCAGGTTGTCATTTCCCTCTACGATGGTGGCCTTGTGAGGCTCGATAAGAACAAGGCTCAAGACTGTATGTGCCACCCTATTTTGCTGTTGTTATTCCTCATCCTGACATCCTGCAGCCGCCAGCAACCCGTGGAAAGAGACGATCTATAACTCCCAAGGTTGGGCGCAGGGACTCCGCAACTTCCTCCCTTTCAAGCAGAACAACTCTGTTCGATACCACAACATGTCCATGGACGCCAGCGCGGCCACATCGATACAGGTCACGGACCTGGGTTTGGATGATGCTGCCTTCCTGTTTACCGTCTGCCTCGACCACCGCATGCGGATTTGGAACTTGCGGACCGGACAAATCCTTTTTACCGGAGACATCCTGAACGCTGACCGCAACCCTCAAGAGATGGGCAAGTGGCAAATTGATCCATCTCAATCAAATCTGCTGCAGCTTGTTGGCGACGGTGCCGGTAAGAGGATGTGTGCTACCTATTCGCCTATCGGTGCCGGGGAGTTCAAGTTCTGGAATATCAAGGCTCATGATACCGAGACCGTCTACGTTGAGGACGCATTCCCTAAGACACACTTGGTCCCGTCTTCACCGTCATTGTCGGATGTCTGGACCCTCGCCGATTTCGTTCTTTCCAGCCCGTCGGATGGTGGTGTTCAGTTGTGGACGTTGTGGAAGAATAACATGACCTACCGGGTCCAGGAGCTGGAACTCGATATGGACAATATTGGAGATTCTTGGGAGACTGAGTGGAACTCCGTGCACATCGACGCGACATATCCAACGGCGCAGGTCTCGGGCCCGTCGGACCCAACAGATACAACTGAGAAATGGCTGGAGCTGATCTTGGCACCTGGCCGTTTCACAAAAGCTACCCTGGAGACGGCCCTTTCAATCTACGAGAAGGGGCTGGGAGCCCAAAAAGACGGCGGATCGAGGGGACAAAGGGGCTTGACGGAGTCTATCTGTTCCGTTCTCGCTTCTACAGCATCTCTGGATCGCAACTCAGCCGGTGGTATGGATTATGAGCAATTCCGTGCGAGCAGCGAAATCCAGTGGCGGAGATTCTACAGACTACTGATTGAGCTAGACAAGCAGCGTGGCGAGGCGGTCTCTCTGATTCTCGATTCAGACACCGATATGACCTGGGTAGTTTGTGCCGATGCTGTGTCTGCCATCAGAGAATGCAGCCCACTCGAACGATTATACTACAACCTTTCGCGCCCAGACGAAGGATCAGAGCGGACAGCGACTCTCATTTCCACGGGAATCAACTTTGTAGACACAATTTCTGACAATATCCTGCAAGTCTGCAACGCGGCGCTGCGCCCTGAAATTTTTGAGGAGACGCCGAGGACGGATTACGAGCGGATTCAGTACTTGTTCGACACCACCGCCATGTGGCGAAGTGTAAGCGAGGAGGATTGCGCGCAGGTCATTGAAAGCCTGGGGCAAAATTACAGCGGTGTGACGATGGAGCTGTATAACAGCCTCGCTGCCTTGATCGCCGCCAGCGCAGAGTCAGGAAGCCGCAAGACCCGGCAGCCTCTCACTGACTTTGGAAGAAAATTGATCGTCAAGACTGTTCAGGAAACAATCGAGCTCCAGTGGAAGGTTGTCTTTAGTCAGATCTTACTATTGGTTCACATGGAATTCGACTGGGAGCAAGAGGAGGACATGCTCTCCAAGCGATTCGATATTGGCAACGTGTTTCGCCAGTTGCTCGAGTCCCTCCGCAGATTAGAGCTGCTCAGGTGGCTTTCCAAAACCGAGATCACAGTTCCCATTGGAAACAAGCACGAACGCAACGGCTCCTTCTCTGGCTCGCCAAGCGCCACCAAGCGATCTGGCGAGGAGACCCATACTATCACCGCTTTGGAGGGCAATGTAGGACACCTCCTGGGCTTCGTCGATGGCAAGAACGAGCTTTTGGCCTCGAGCATCACGGATATTGTCAACGATTTGTGCGCATCAAACAGCGACATTGAGGTGTCACCTACCCTCATTCAATGCTCCTTGATCAGGAGAGAACGGGCTGATTTGGCCCTGGAGCTCAACCCCTTCTGCCGTCAAACGCCTTTCGCCATATATATCCAGGGCCGAGTCTCCCTTGCCCTCAAAGATTTTGCCTCGGCCGCTATCCATTTCCGCAAGGCGGCCATTGGAATGAGTACGCTTGCGGCGTTCCTCTTACCTCGTTCTTTGCTGACAAGTACAATAGGTGTGAAGGATGTTGATGTCGACCGCCATAGCAGTGGTCTCCTGGACGACACGGAATGGAACCTGCTCAACAAGGGCCCTGCCCGTTACTATTGTCACACTGTGGCCCTGTTTGAGAAGGCCAAGGCGTACTCTTGCGTTATCGAGTTTGCCGGTCTGGCTATTCAGTACTCTCACGCCAGCCCCGAAGCTACATTGGTGCGGAGCGAGATGCTTAGTCGCCAATTCAACGCAGCCACAGTGCTCTCGCGCTTTGATGTTGCTCACGCCAGCCTACTTGCCATGAAGGACAAGGCAATGCAGCACTCGTCCCTGCGCAAGCTGGTGGACAAGATGTGCGAATCTTATCACAACAAGGAACTAATGTCGCTACCCTTCCCTGGGCTGTCAGACTCCATCGATGAGATTTTGTCCCAGAGATGCAGGTCGACGATGGATGTCCTGAGCGGCATCCCTTACCACCAAATACTCTACTCCTGGAGGATCAAGCACAACGACTATCGTGGCGCGGCCACAGTCTTATTGGATCGCATTCAGAAGCTGCAATTCGCCGGCGAGGGTGACAAGTTCATTGGGGAGGACATCCTGGACACACCCGTAACGAAGCAGTACCTGCTGCTCATCAACGCCTTGAGCTGCGTTGACCCGAAGCAAGCCTGGATCTTCTCAGAGGAATTGCCGCCTGCCAACTCGAGGGACGGCAACTTCCAAGGCAAGCGCAAGGTCGTCACGCTGCCAGACTTACGCAAACAGTACCAGGACGAGCTGGACAGAATCGCTGCCATCCAGAACAACCAGTTCGGATTCGAGGCAGACGACGCTATGGACATTTTGTAAATGGATGAATGACAAAAAGTAGACGCACAAGGCGCGGTGATGGCAGCAGAGAGCATGTACAAGTAATCAGAATCATTCCGGATAAGAAAACTTCGGATACACCAGATACCTCACGAATTGCATGGATTGGGCTTTGGTATTTTCGATGGAAGAGAAATAATTTCATTTTTCGTATCAGTCAGACCCAGCTTCTTTACCCCAAACGCCGTGACATATGCTAAAAGTGCGTGACCTCCGCCGGTTATTATCATACTTGCAGCATTGCAACACAGCTCTACGCTTGCGAGGGCTGTGGCATCAGCTTGGGGTTCTCGGGGGCAGCAGCCATGATCATAGTTTGACCTTGGGCTGCGTCCGGTGCTTGGCGGTAGAGAATGATTTCGGACTGTTTGAAATATCTCCGAGCATCTTCCAGAGGTTAGCAAAGGATTGGCCTGCCGCAGAATGCGCGCGGTCTCCCTACCTTCGTCAATGAGAACCAAGCTGAGGTAGTACCTGGTCGAAAACTTCTTGTTTACATCCCGGAATGTAGGGGTCAAGTCGAAGCCTCCAAGGAAGAGACGAATAGGGATAGTCTCTCCTCTGGACGGGGATCCGTCCATGATCTGCAAGCAACAGTCAACATCTATCCGCATAAATTTGAAATGGAGACACTCACCTCGAAGCGCACCAAGGTCTCACTTTCGTTGTACTGGTTCGGCGCTGCGCCCGTCGTCTCCCTCCTGATGATGGACAGTTCCATATGCTTGATCTTGAGTCGGACGAGAAGGAAGTATATACGGCCAACAATGACGTCCTTGAGATGGTACTTGCTCTTGGAGTACTCAAATTCAATGTGCAGACAGTCCTCAATACCGACGTCCATTTTGATGGACGAGTTCATCTCAGGGGGTATGCGGTACGAATAGACCCAGATATCCTTCTCGCGGATAACGTCGGCCATGCGGCGAGAGACCGTGACGCGGACGAAGTAGCGGAGCTTGACATTGATGCCATTGTACGACTCGTACTGCTTCTCGACGTTTTTGAAGTTAAAGTCGAAGGTTTGAGGGTGCTGCAGCTCGCCTGGCGCCGCGAGCTCCTGGACGAGGGAGAGGAATTCGTAATGGTTACCACGGTCGAAGAACATTTCTATCGAAGATATGTGAGTTTCGAATGTTCCGATGATGCGCAAACATGCGCAATCAGAAGAAAGACCAGTTACATACCTATCGTGCCGATGAATTGAACCTTGATGCCGGTATGCTCTAGTCGCTTGCCGTCCTTGGGTCGGATGGTCACGGCGCCCTTGACAGACTCGCCGTCCATGTATAAAGGCGCTTTCTCGCGCCTGTTCTTGTCGAGCTTGACATCGACCATGGACCGCTCGTCGGCGTCCTCTAGCACGATGTCGATGTCGACGGGGGTCGAGAAGAAGTACGACATCTTAGCTTCGGTGGTTACCCGGATCCCGCGCGATTACTCCGTTTCGGAGATGCCTGATGGCTGAGATATATGAGGGCAAGCCAATTGTGGTGACCTCCTGCTCGGATCGGTTTCGTGGTTGGTATGGCTGGGGCGATCGGACTCGGTCGTGGTCTTGGAGGAATGGCGTTGCTGACGTACGTGCATTCAACGTCCCTGGGTATTACTTGATGCTGCTGCTGCTGCTATTGCGCCGACCCATTCAGCTGTCGGAGGTGGGCTGGGAGGAGCTCCCGGGCGTGGCCTCTCTCATTGGACAGATGCCACACGTGACAGTGCCAGGCAGTCAACATTGCAAGAGAGGCTAGTCTGGTCAAGATGTGGCTGAAGCTGGCCTTCTGCCCCACCATAGGAGTGCAATGTGGCGTCGCTTTGCGGTCCAAGTTGCACGCTTTACGTCGACGCACGAGCCAGGTAAGTTGGGGATCGCTCCCCCTCTGCTCACGTGCACGCGAGCCCTACCTTCCGAAAATAATCCCACAGCGAAATTCGACTTACGACCGGCGAACTTTTTGGAGACCCGACCCTCAACGCCCAACGATACCCTCACAGACCAGTCGCCAATCGCCCAGCCGACAACCCCCCCCCGACGTCAAGATGAAGTACATTCACTCCCAGGAGTCCCTTGACATCCCCCAGGATGGTATGTGAACACCGTCGTCGTTGTCGTCGACAGAACGACTCGCGAGAAAAAGCCGCGCAAAAATATACACAACCGTCGAACTCCACGGCCAACATGTGCGGCCCTGCGAGCTCCGCCGGACTCTGAAATTTGGGACACGAAATACTCTCTCCGCATCCGCCTATATATCTCTACGTCTCCTCAATGCCGGCCATGCTCTGCGCTCGCGCGCTGGGGGAATGCGACGTCAGGGAGAGCGATAATGGGATCGGCGGGGACGGAGAGGGTGTTTGGGGTTGAAAAGTTTTAGACTGTGGATGAGCTCGAAAGGAGCAGTAGTGGCAGGCAATTGAATGCATGCTGACTTGGATTCTCCAACAGTCAAGGTTCACATCAAGTCCCGCGTCGTCACCGTCGAGGGCCCCCGTGGTAAGTCTTACACATGCATCTTTTTCACCCTCTTTCGCGTTGTTGGCCAGCTACAGAGCAGCCGGCGTGATTCCGTCACGCAGCCCAAAGGGGTATCTGCCTTTAGGAAGTCATGGGCTGACCAGATCAATAGGCAAGCTGGTGAAGGATCTCAGCCACTTGGCTGTCAACTTCTCCCAGCCCCAGAAGGGCACCATCAACATTGAGATCCACCACGGCTCAAGAAAGAACGTTGCCACTCTCCGCACCGTCCGCACCCTCATCAACAACCTGGTTGTCGGTGTCACCAAGGGCTACAAGTACAAGATGCGCTACGTCTACGCCCATTTTCCCATCAACGTCAACGTTGAGAAGAACTCCGAGACTGGCCTGTACGAGGTTGAGATCCGGTATGTATCAATGCGTCCTTTCATATAGGCATCATCGTACTGACTCTCAACTAGCAACTTCATTGGTGAGAAGCTCGTCCGCCGCGTTGTGATGCGCGCCGGTGTCGACGTCGAGGTCTCCAAGGCCCAGAAGGATGAGCTCGTCCTCTCTGGCAACTCCCTCGAGGCCGTCTCCCAGTCTGCTGCCGACATCCAGCAGATCTGCAAGGTCCGCAACAAGGATATCCGTAAGGTATGTTGGCACTTAAACTCAGCCCTCAGAAACCCCAGCATCCTAATCCCGATCTAGTTCCTTGACGGTATGTACGTCTCTGAGAAGGGCAACATTGTCGAGGACCAGTAAACGCGACATTGTCACGTAATGTGTGATGGTTTAGTGTTTTCGAGGCCCTCGGTCTCTGCGGGGAAAAAAAAACTTCTGGGTTCTGGTCTGGGTTCTTATGACAAGGAGTGGCCGGGGTTCAATCATTTGCAGGCACAGCATAGCACCCAAAAAGATGGTGTCGTGTGAGTGTAGCGCAGGGCTATACCATCAAAAAGCAAGAAGACGCACCAGCTCGCTTATGAGCGGTTTACTCGAATACTGCCTGTCTAAAGTCTATATGCATGAAACGAATTGGCGTTTATTGGTGAAATGATACCTCTTCAAAACCCCCATGCCCTTCCCTCGCTTCGTATCTGGTGCTTGGTGACGAGAAGGTATTTTGCACGGGCGCATGCTGACTGAGCCACCAGGAGTTCATTCGGCATTCGCTAGAGGCTAGGCGATGTGGGAAAGCATTCCGCTCTTTTGCAGGACAAATGTTGCCGCAGACTTTGACCCAAGTTTCGTATGTTCATCTGAACATGGCTTCCAGACCCAATTTCACAGCAAGCATTGTGTGGCCTCTGCGGGAAGTCAAAAGACAATTAAGTATGACGGAATCATTTCGTCTGATGCATTACGGTGGCTCGTCGGCTTACGAGCTTACCACCAAAAGTTTCGTCTACAACATTTAAATCGTTCTTACATCGTACATGCTATGCTGGGGCTATGTGTGTGTGGTATGGAAGCACGCCAAGAAAAACTTCGGAATCGCTCGAAAGGAGAGGGCCGCCATGTCCAGGGGATCTTCTCTCGCCCCCCTTTTCGTCGTCGTCTTCGTCTCCTTCGTCTCCAAAACCATCATTCCACCCCGTTTCANTTCTCTCGCACCCCTTTTCGTCGTCGTCTTCGTCTCCTTCGTCTCCAAAACCATCATTCCCCCCCGTTTCATCGTAATCGTTCCAATCTCGCGTTCGTTTCTGAAATCAATGTTCCTCTTTGTCGCCGCATGGTTCATCTTCCATGCTGTGGTGTTGTTGTCTTGTGTCCTTCCGGTGTCACACTCGACAACCTAAAGCCAAATTATGATTTGTTCCCCCTTGAACGCCGGTTGAAAGTAGAGAAATAATACCAATTTATGTACGTCCGAAGCATGTTCAAGCCTCAAAAACAAAGCCAGTCAAAGAGACATTCGAAAGCATATGCGTATTGGCGAGTCTCGAGAAGAACTCAGTTTTCTACCGCCGTGAGTGCCGCGTAGTGCGGGTGCCACGCGTGTGGCCCGTTCGGTGAGTTCTTCCCCCAGAGCTCGAACTGCCTAGGTAGGAGGTCAGATTCGATCTAGTCCGAGAATCCCATGAAGACTCACTGGGACTTGTCCCCGTGTAGGAGTAATACGAGTCGGTGTATGTTGATCGCTCGGGCTTGCGTGCGGGTTTGTCCTTCTTCATGTTCAACAGAGCCGCCATGGTTGCGGCCGCGGCACCGAGGCCCAACCATTTGGCGCCCTCCTTCTTCTCTTCCTTGCGACGAGAGGCAGACGCGGGGCGGCCCCCGCCGAACCAACCGCCGTGAGATGGGCGATGAGAGTGAGCAGAAGGCATGCGGCTGCCGTGACGTGAATATCTTTCTTCGACAACCTCGACACGCTCGCGACTGCGTTCCTTCTTCTTACCACCAAAGATGAGGCCCCAGAGACCACGAGCAATGCAGCAGAAGCAGAGCAGCATTAGCAGGCCGAGACCAGCGAGCGTGCCGATAACAATGCCCGCAATGGCGCCGCCGCTCAAGCCACCGCCGGTACCTTCATCGGCGATTGGTACCGCGGTTCCGGTTCCCGTTGCCGTCTGGGATGCGAACGTGCCAGTGGCCCCGGTGCTAGTGACCCTGTAAGGAGCAGAGAACTGTGTCGTTATAGGAACGCCGTTGGAGGTGATTGTTGTGATGTCCCAGCCCTTCTGGGCGCATTGGCCAGAGTAGGCGCAATACTGGTTAGAGGCACAGCAAATGCTGCCGCACGCCGTCTCTCCGTCGTTCTGAGGAACGCAAGTCGCGCCGGTGCCGCCTCCTCCCGACGCCTTTGTCGTCTCGGGCCAATTGGTGGTGACTGTGCTCGTGAAAGTGTTCGTCTCTGTCCATGTTGTAGTGTAGATGCCATAGCCTCCGCCGCCATTGACTGTGCTACAACCAGCAATGTTGTTGACGGTGTAGCACTGCTCGCCAGAGCCGCAGCAGTACTGAGAATCAGCGCCACATCGCTGGACACAGTCGCGTTTCATGAACTTGTCACCAAGCTCGTAAAAGAGGTTGTTGGCGATGTTTTGCAAAGGATACGGATGGGCGAGAATCGGAGTGGGGGCGGAGACCAAAAGAACAAGGCCGGCAGCGACCCAAGAGGCCGCGCCCGATTGCTTGTTCCGGCCCATTCTGACGGAAGGCGCAGCGCGGCGTGGTTGTAGGCCAGGAATGTGAAGAGTCGAAGAACAAAACGGCAGGATGAAAAACTGGCAAATCGCGGCCGACGCTTGCAGCGAGATGTGTCGCGGAGCTTGTCTCGTCTCGTCGCCTCGGGGGCTACGGTGGATGGGTGCGTAGGTAGGCAAGTAGGAGGAATGATCAAGAGAAATAATGAGGTATTAATGGCTGGGTAAGGAAGAGCGTGGAATGTGAGAAGAGCGAGTGAGCTGGTCGGCCCAGTCTGTTAGTGTGCAGACCGCAAAGTGTAAGCCAGCAGCTGCTGTATTATCGACAGGGTCGCTCTCGACGCTTGTAATGTTATTGAGAGTTTTGCTAGAGGGGAAAAGACCAAGGATTCGGGAAAAGAACGAAATCTGCCGACAAGGTGACTTTAAGAGAGGGTAGTGGACAGACTTGAGCGTAGTATTACTTGGTTTGGGCAGAGAGTTTTTTTTTTTTTAGTTTTTTTTTTGGCGGGATTCCCAACCTCCTCTCTCGGGGCCAAGTCCAACCTCTTCGATTTTCCTCTGCTGTCACCACACCCGCATCCACACTGACACTGACACTGGCACCCACAATGCTACCCTCGAATGATACGAAATGTCGCAGGGATCTGGTCTCACCGATTAGCTGTCCAGTCTGCAATCTGCAGCGCAGGGCGGAGGCTCTGGAGCAAGGCTTCTCTACGTCTCTCTCTCTCTTTCTCCTTTGTGATTGATCGATTCCGTCGCAGCTACTGGCAGACAAATTCTGGCGCTGTTCCTGAAGATCGGGCACCGAGAGATGAGTCTTGAATCGAAAGAGCGAGGGTATTAAAGTGGTTCCATGGCGCTGGTGCGGGGAGATGCCTGTGTGAGCTGGCAAACGAATAGCCTTCACTTTTGTGACTGGTCCGGCTCAGAGCGCCTGGCCTCCACTGTTTATCTGCAGGGGTCGATCCGTCCACTGGGCGACGACGATGGTGACCGGGGGCGCTGGACAATCGATAGGAAAAGAGCGCAGGAGACAGAGGTGACGACGGGAACCAGTTCCAACTTCCCGTCCGGCGCCCTGTGTTTCCCTGCTCTAGCGGCGTGTTCCCTGCCGTTTCTCACCCTTACACCGAGTTAAGTTGCACCTTCCTTCCTTGGCAGCACTCTTCTCTGTAGAATCGGGCGATGTAAGCTTGCTCATTCGCTGAGCCTGCCACCATGTCAGACGCCTCAATATGAGGGAGGCATCGGCTGCAAACCCATCGAAATCGCCCGCTTCGCCAAAGAGATATGATGCGGCGTCGCACGCTCTCCCGCCTTGTTGTCTACAGGACTAAGCCCCTAATTAGACCTTCAGCCGTGCAAACAGCATCTGTGAGGTGCATATGGCAGGCGAGGCAGATGGCAGCGCAGTGACAGCCGCTACAATTACCTTGTCGTTGTAGTTGTGGCATCGCGTTGGCATCTCACTAGCCGTCTGTCCGTGAGCTCCGGATTGCGGCAGGCCGACGGGATGTATTGTGCAGGGCATCGTCCACGCGAGCACTCCCACTTCGAATCGACGACGTATCTGTATGTTCCTGGCTAGAGCCGCCTCCCGCGGTATCCTGGGAATGCGTCTAAGGAGGTCTCAAGCATGGCGTGGGCCATTTCAATCATGGGGAAACTGTGCAGCGCATGCCGATTTGATGAAGATGACTGTGACAGCGGAGGAGTGCTGCCCCTGAATAAAATCGGGAGGCTGGAAATCGGGGCAGACTACATCATGGTTGCTATTTGGAGCCTGGAGGTGTGAGTAGATCTGGCACATGGGCGAGAAGCCAAGCCCTGTGAGTGGACTGACTGGCCTGGTATCCGTACGGCGGTACGGTGCACCGGACAAAGGTCTTCCAGGTGGATCGATGGTGCACCGCCGCACCCCAGCAGCTGGCTTCCCATTAAGCTGTATTATTGGCCACTTGTAAGCTTTGGTGGATCCTGGGAAGCTCTCATCTGTGGCTGATTTAGAATTGGACCTCGAGCCAATCAAGCGCGGTCGCTGACGCTGTGACTTGCAGCAGGGAAAGTGTACCCAAAAGTGGGCGTGCGCGGCTGCGGCTGCGGCGAGTGTGCTTGCTACGTTCATCAGACAGCTCCCACCTGCGACGACTACCTATCGAGGCACGCCGATTCCATCTACGCAGTTCATCCTCAACTCCCTCGGCGACGCACCTCCATCCATTTCGAAGCCGCCAGGGTCGCTCTCTCCCACCCACCGCCCCAAATGTCGATCGATCCTCCCACGTACCTGGCCTCGCTGCAGAGCAACATTCGCCAGCGGCCAATCCCCTGGGATGGTGCTGTTAGAGCAGGCACCATCACCGAGGACCACCTGGCCCGCATCCGCGCCGTCGACAAGGCGAAGAAGCCCGAGGCAAGGAAGGAAATTGTAGAAGGCGATCTCGATGGCTACCGCTCACTCTTTGTTGGGGAGCCCGGCAAGCCCAGCGTGCTGGAGTCTGCTGGAAAGCAGGCGAACGTCGTTCAATTCGTCCTCGTCCTGCTAGCCGACCTTTTGCCTAGTACGTCATGCGCAACTGTTCCCTATCAAGCCTTCTTTCTAGCAACCAACTCCTCTGCCCTAAGAATTGTGTGCTCCGAAATTGATTGCGGCGCTTTAATCTTATATCACGCGGGCCATATCGAATCTCAGCTAAACTGATCAACCTCGTTTCACAGGCGTACCGTCACTTGCGAAGGCTCTTATTAAGAATACAGACCCCTACAAACACTTTCTACCATTGCTCGCGCACTCCAACAACACCGAGGACCCGATCCCGTTGCTCACGTCGACTGCCCTGACCAAGCTGATGTCTCTCGCGCTCGACGAATCCCAGGCGACACGCAACGCCATTCCCGTCCTGCTCACATATCTCTCAGGCCTCGCCAAGAGCTCCGATGCGGGTCTTCAAGATATCGCAGTCCAGGAGTATTCCTCGCTACTTTTCGGACATGTTTCGCGGCAACAGTTCTGGAACCAAAGAAGCGAGACAATTTCTCCTTTGATCGACATTCTCAAGACTGCTGCGGGCATTGGAAGCAACGGCAGCTCTTCTGCAAGCATATGGAGTGGTAATGCTCCTTCGAGATCCACAGGCTTTGAGGGTTCGCTCGGTGGCGGAGTTGGGCTTCAGCTGTTATACCATGTTCTGTTGGTTGTCTGGCAACTGAGCTTTGAGGCTGATGAAATTGGTGACGACCTGAACGAGTACGTTGCCCGGGGAATCCATGACTACCTCCAAGCTAACAGTTGGCAGTGAGTACGACATCGTCTTGTTGTACACTCAGCTTCTTCGCCTGTCTCCAAAGGAGAAGACAACACGTTTGATTGTGTCGACCCTTTACAATTTGCTCGAAAAGAACCAGAAATCACTTCTCCCTACCGCAGTGCTTGCAAGGCTGCCTGCACTCCTCGAGAATCTCAGCGGCCGTCACTTGACCGACCCCGACCTCTTGGAAGATGTCCAGAAATTGAAGGAGCTGCTCGAGGAGTATACCAAGACGAAGACTACCTTTGACGAATACGTTGCAGAAGTTGAATCTGGCCACCTCCGGTGGTCCCCGCCTCACAGAAGCCAGGTTTTCTGGGCCGAGAATGCGCGCAAGATTCTCGAGCATGAGAACGGACAGGTCCCCCGTAAACTTGCCGATATCATGAAGAGGCCATGGGACAACGACAAGCAGGTGTTGGCCATTGCTTGCAATGATGTCGGAGCTTTGGTGAAGGAGGTTCCGGAAAAGAGGTACCAGCTGGAGAAGCTCGGCCTGAAGACCAGGGTCATGGAGCTCATGGGGGATGCAGACGAACACGTTCGGTGGGAGAGCTTGAAGGCGTTGGGAGGCTGGTTGAAGTACAGCTTTGACGGCTAAAGATGGTTCCAGCACAACTAGGACTATGGGCCAAAACACGTGTAAGTATAAATGGATGGGCGGGCAGCATTATCCAGGCAGTTAGAGTGGATCAGGACTCATTTCGAGTGTGCCGTGCTTTTATTTCTCGCAGCCCGACTGCTGCCAGCCGCCGTGCCGACGGTTTCGGCCGAGAAAGTGATGTGCTTCGTCTTTGCCCCTGCATCACACCACGAGGTTGACAGCACACCACGAAACGGCGTATAGTAATTTGAACAGAGCATTATGACGAAGTACCAAGACTTGATGATGATGGTGATTTTCGTGATCACCGGCGTGGGTGACGGCGGTGGTGTGTGTGTGTGTGTGTGGCCTTCGCCTTTCGCCTGTCGCTTTTCCTGTTTTCCGCATCGTGAGGTTTGTGTGTGGGGGTCAGTTGCGCACCTGATGAGCAAAATCCGCCCGGCGGATTATGGCCCGAGTGGCCCAGCATGACATTTTCCCAACGTCAAGACTTTGCCGACTTGGCCCCGTCTGGGACCCCGTCCGGCCACCGTCTCGCGGCCTTTGCCAGCCCAATGGGAGGGATTAGTGGAGCTATTCTAAGGCACAGCTCCTCGCGTGCGCCAGAGATGCTCCTGTAACTCCGATGGGACCCCGCGGCGTTATGTACTCCGGACCTTATCATACGGGCGGTACGTGCCCCGGCGGGTCGACCACCCCACCGCGTAGTGGACGTCAACCCCTCAATAATTAGCGGTTCTAGATTCTAGAATGTGGGAACAACCCAGCAAAACCACGGTGACCCAGGCTCTGCCCCGCTAAAAGAGCTGACCTGAGTTCAGGGTCCATACCTTACCATAGCTTCCGAGGGTCGCATGTTCCGTCGCAGCTTTCAGTGAACCCTCCCGCCCTCAACAGAACCTTCACGAATACGCACCCGCTCAAAAACACACATAATCCGTCCACACCGCTCCCTCCTCGGCCGTCTGCTTTCTTCCAAACCACATACACACACGACCATCCAATAACCTCAAACAAGATGGCGCCCAAAGCTATTGTTGCACCCTCGATCCTGGCGGCCGACTTTGCCGACCTCGGCGCATGCTGCTCACGCACAATTTCTCAAGGAGCCGACTGGCTTCATGTTGACATTATGTAAATACACCCCGCCAGAGCCAAAGTAGCCGAGGACGTCGCGAGATCCAAAACAGCAGACGCACGTCTGTCTCCGAACGACGCTCGAGAGCTTCAGGTCCGACAGAGCTGATCTGTGCCACAGGGATGGACACTTTGTGCCCAACATCACATTTGGGCCGGGTGTCGTGAGCAAGATCCGCGGCCACGTCACCAAGCCCTCTGAGAAGGACGGCAAGGGAACCTTCGATTGCCACATGATGATCTCTGAGGTGAGTCTCAAGTCAAGCTTTGATGGTGACAATGGTCACCAGGCAGCCAGAATACTGCAGCAGTCAACTAACAAGCTATGCTTCCCTTCAGCCTAAGAAGTGGGTAAAGGAGTTCAAGGACGCCGGCTGTGATCTTTACTGCTTCCACTACGAAGCCGCCTTCTCCTCCAACGCCGAGAGGCCCGAGGACAAATCCGACGAGACGACGAATCCCAAGGCTCTGATCCGCTACATTCACGAGCAAGGTCTGCATGCTGGTATCGCGATCAAGCCTGCAACGCCAGTTGACGTTCTCTGGGATATTCTTGAGAGCGAGGACCCCCTCGAGAGACCCGAAGTGAGTTTCCTTTGGTCCCGCCGATGCGCATGTTACACGACATGGGTTCTCCGTGCAGGTCGATACTAACTCGTCAAACCACAGATGGTCCTCGTCATGACGGTCGAGCCCGGCTTCGGCGGGCAAAAGTTTATGGCCTCTGAGCTACCCAAGGTTCAAGCCTTGCGCGAGAAGTACCCAGACCTCAACATTGAGGTCGATGGCGGTCTCGGAGCCGGCACCATTGACCAGGCAGCCGATGCTGGTGCGAACGTCATTGTGGCGGGTAGCGCTGTTTTTGGCGCAAAGGACCCGTCAGAGGTCATTTCGATGTTGAAGTCGGCCGTGGAGAAGAGGATCGGCAAGCTCTGAAAATGGCATGTGGCGGGCTACCAGATGATGTTTACGACTTTGATGTGTGCGCTTCTTTTGTTGGTTGATTTATATTTGCGCGGGGACAAAAAGGAAGCAAGCCATGCGTTTTTATGTTCGGTACATACTACAACTAAGTCGGACAACGCGCTCCCATAGTGGAAATGCGTTGGTCTTCTTAATCCTAATTGTATACAACTAGAAAAAGTTTTAAATTTTAAATTTTCCTTTTCACTTCTTTTGCGCCAGTGCTTTGTCTAAGGCGGCAACGAAGCTCTTGATTTCTTCCACTGTAACGGCGTCAGCTCTGATTCCGCAGCAAGAAAACATTGGCGAAGACTTACAGCTGTTGTAATGGACCATACTGACCCTGACGATACCGTCCGATGGATCCAGACCAAGCACATCTTTCAATAGACGATAAGAGTAGAAGTGGCCCCATCTGAATCCAAAGACTGTTTCCTTCTCGACGGTCTCGACCAACTCTCGCGCGCCCCAGTTCTTCACTCTGAAGCTGATCGTTGGGACACGGCGCTCGGTGCCTGCATCTGACTCGCCGTAGATGGTGACATCCCCCCGGCCGTTGAGATACTCTAGGAGGATCGACTGAAGCTGCCTCTCCTGCTCAATCTTCCCCTTCCAGCCGTCGGAATTCGGCGTACCGAGATACTCTAGAACCTTCGGCACGGCGGAAACCAGCTCGTAGCTGCCACCCGCCAAACCTAGCTTGCCCTCGAGCGTATCGCCCTGGTTGAAGAAGTGTCCCAACGACCGCATGTGGGTATCTTGCGCCTTGCGACTGGCGTACAGCATGGCCGTGTGCGGGCCGTAGACCTTGTACCAGGAGAAGGCGTAAAAGTCGATACCGAGGGCCTTGACATCGATGGGCCGGTGCGGGGCATACGCCACGCCGTCGACGCAGACGAGACCCCTTGGCGTGCTTTCGTGGACCAAGGATGCGATGGCCCCCACATCGTGGATTGTGCCGAGAATGTTGCTCGCATGGGTGCAGGTTACCAGGCGAGTCTTGTCTGAGAGCAGAAGTTTGAGATTGTCAACAGTGAGCTTGGGGTTGGGCGAGTTGTCTGGCTTCCACCACTTGAGAACCAGATCCTGGCGGGCGGCAAGGTCGACCCAGGATGCAATGTTGGCCTCGTGATCAACTCCGGAGACAACGATCTCATCGCCTTTGCTGAAGGAGAAGGTGTGAGAGAGGTTCCTGAACAGCTGAGTAGTCGAAGCGCCGAAGACTGCTTGATCAGTTGAGTTACAAAGGGTGGGACTGGACATTGTTACCAATTTCATCGGGGGATGCATTGATGTAATTGGCTCCGGCCTGATAACCGTCACCGTAAAGAGCAGTGGAGCGCTGGCCAACTTTGTATGAGGCTCCTAGCTGAACATTGGTCTGAGAGAGATAGTCGCGGATCCTGCGTCGCGTCAGTGGGTTGCGTATATGGCGGCCATAGGATTCAAGAACGTACGAGTCTATGACAGTCCCAAGAGTCTGACTTCCACCGGCGTTATCGAAGAAGACTTGGTCCTGGCTGAGGGCAGGGAACTTGGCCCTCGTGGCCGCGATCTCGATTTGTGCAGACATTTCCAGGTTCGACTTCCAAGGCTTAGTTTGTGTCCAGAGGATTGAAACCCTAAGTTCTTGCAATGAGGTGATTATGAAGTAGACGAGTTGCTGTGCGTGAGATAAGACGTTGGATGGATGACTCGGGCTCGACAAATTCAGCTCTTAAAGAATGGGACACTTGCAGTAGCTAGGTCTGTCGGCTTGCAAGCGGGGTTGAGCTGTCTTCGTAATTGAAGCAAGCACGCGGAGAAGCTGGGTCAAGATGCCAGCGAACTGCCCAATCGAGACACTAATGACCAAGAAGACGCACTTGGAGCCGCAATCGACGCCAATGAATGGGGATGCATGACACCAAGAGGACGGGCGGCGGGGTACTGAAGGACGCGGGGTCCATCGGCGGTTGGCAACGGCTCGCCGATGGGTCCGCTGCGGTCTCCAAGCGCTCCGTCCCAAGCCCGCATGCTCGGAAGCCACACCACGCTCACGCTGGCTGAGGTTGGCCGGCTCTTTCTGATGCGCTGGTCCTTCTCAGCCTGTTTTGAACTCCCCAGCGCCTAAGAGTAATATGTTGCAGGCGACGGCATTGGCTACTTACTCACAAGTCAAGGCTGGCGGTTCGCATTGTTACTCGACAACGAAGCATCCGGCGCTTGGTTTGTTATGCAAGTTTCTGGAAGCATTTGAATGGAAACAAGATCCCCTTCAAATGTGTATCCCGTCTGCGCTTATCTGCATTGCCAATTGTATGACCGGGTTGCATTTCACCTTTCTTCGTTGAGAAGGCTCTGGCCACCAGACTGAGCAGCGGTGTACCGCATTAAGAAACGTAGCAGGGCGCACCCAACGTCACTGTGGTGGACGGGAGGACGCATTGCGGTGCTCTGCAGGGGCCAACGCCGAGCCATGGGACGATTTGCCGCGAAAACAGCTGCTAGAATGGGCAACAGAAAAAACTTTATGTGGGACCTCAGCCCACGTCCGATCGAAGCTCTCGACCCAGATATGGTCTGGGAGGTTGCCAACATTTTTTTTTATTCCTCCTCCTCCGCGCACAGCAACACCTCCCTTCCCTCCCAGACCCATTGATCTCCCATAATGAAGCGCAAGGCCGAATCGCGGATTGACGACAAGAAGAAGTCCAAGAAGAAGTCCAAGACGAGTGAGCGAACCAGCACCTTTCTGTCAAGAAATGACGTCGCACTAACACCGAGTGCTACAACAGCTCTCTCGGCCGACGTCGCAAAGTCACGATTCCGCAAGGGCCTCTTCGACTCGAACGTCCTCGAGTCCTACACCGACGAGTATGCCAAGTCAAGCCCGTACAAACACTCCGTAATCACCG